CCATCATCGTCTGCGACTGTATATGTCTGGTTTAACTTGCTTGGTGACTGCACTGGAGTATATCCTCGACCCGGCGAGCTTCCTGCCGTTCCTGGTGTGCTGGGCCGGATCTGTGTGGGCGGCGAGTTGGGAGTAGACGGTCGACGAAAGGGAGAAGCTCGAGGAGACCCAAAGGATAGTGGCGATGGCCGAAAGGGTGTATTTGAGCCCTGCATAGTCTTCGTCAGCTTGATATGATCTGGCTATCAGCTGTTGCGGTGAAGGGAAGGAGCACACCATGATATGATATCTTTATGAATTCCGATCTAGACGATTTTCAAAAATGCTAGGTATCCTCTGTAGATTCTACTTCGAAATTTCAATCAGTAGCAAAGCAAGTAGTACTCCTTCAGTTTGCATTGGATGCTGGAGTTATCTGCGTCTACAAGGCGATACCGTAACCATGCCTCCGACCAGACAAACAAACAAAACAGCGCATGGATGACGGCATAAAGTCGGCCCGCTCCTTGGCACGTGCGGGTCTGCGGGGATCTTTATCCTCAAATTAATGCTTTAAATGGTCTCAGATAAGAAAAGAGTTTCCACAAGTTGGGTTTCCTGGGAATTTTCGAAAGTCCTTACGATAGTCGCTTTTTTGCTTCGTCCATGAACAGGATGAATCCGTGAGACATCCAAGGCAGGCTCTGCGAAAAATGTGCTTGGAAGAGAATAAATCTGCATGTGGATGTCTTCATAGCCAAAGAGGAGTCAAAAGGGCCAGCTCAGGTCGACTGCAACGACTCAATGCCTCCGGGTTATGAATCAGGATACCCGCATGATGAGAGGCGGAAAAGTATGGTCCAACATAGCGCTCGACTGGGCCTTGAAATGATCTACTAGGAGTAATCGACAGCCATCGAGTCGAGGTACTTCGCTTTCCTCGGCAATTCTGCATACTGCTATGTATTGCTCTCGCAATCTGCCGAAGTCAAACGGGCCGTATGTTCGAGTGGGCGAGTGGGCTCCAAAATTCCATCTGGGACCCCACGCAATGTGCTTGCGAACTCGGCAACTGGTACGAAGGCGTTTGGCCTTTGGACTCCAAAATAAAGGGATGGCGCATTACCTGATGGAGCTGGTGTCAGAGCCCTGTCCCATCTATCAGGGCCTTTTGACTGCGGCAGCAAACAGGACAGTTGCTAGGATGGCAAAATATTTTTGGTACGCTGGTACACTCTTCTGAGCCGAAAGAACTGAATTTCTCCTATGGAGCTTGCCGCGAAGGAAGAATTGATTGGATAAACATTGAAACTACGTAGTTCTCAAGTCGTAGTGCAGGTGATACAGATACTATCGTCCTTTTGCGAGTTTTCCGTACAAATGAATGCGGTTCATTCCCAGTTCACGACGAACGTTGGCGATCATCTTTCAAGACTCTGTAAAGCGATCTTAAGGAATGATTTCCCAATCTGTATAATTTGCCAAAAGATCAGACTCACGCCCTCCAAAAATAGCCGGGTGTTGAGGGTGGAAATGGGTTGTTTTGTGGTGCTAGACCGTGGGAGATTGGAGTCTAAAACACACGTCAAATCAATGTACCTGCATGGTCTATTCGCGAATCACACCCGGTGTGGTTGGAGTAGTCTTAGAATAATTTCCTCTCATGCAAGGGCCCAACGGCGTATTGTTGCGATCTCACGATGGGATTGATCTGGTTCTGGCTCTGCTTCCCGTCGACCTTCCCCGCTGTGGAGATGGCTGGTACGTGGTGGTTTGGTTCAATGTGTTGAGGCGTCCCCTTTTTCCTTCAGATCGACTGCGCAAGTGAAACCCCTGAAAATGAACGGACGAACGACGATCGACTAAGCTTCCGATCGGTCACAAACTGACTAACTAGCAGATTGGCCATGGCATCCTACTTACTCAGGACTCTTTAATGTCCATTGTGAGAGATATGCGGTGATTATACCCATTTCTCTGCTAGGAGCAGTCCTCCCCCGTATCTCTTATCCTCACATTGCTTTTCTCCCTCACTACCCAAAATGACCACCACTCTTCCCTACCGACCGTCCGACGATGCCGCGCACCCATTTCCTACCGTGTCGAACCCCTCGAAATCCAATGGCTTGCCCCGATTGTCTCCATCCCCCTCCGTCGTCAAGAACAGATCTCCCAGCAGCTCCAGATCTCTGCGTCGGCCCTCCAGAGATCATCTCGCTGCCCCTCGTGCCTCGAAACCCCGACGATGCAAGTCACAATATCCTTTAGACTCATCGGAGCGCCATGTCGAGTACATCCTCGTCGCGTCCTTCCACATTGACCGGGGTCCGATCATGGAACATCAGTATCCGGCGCCCATTAGCGGAGACGAGAGCATGCTCGCGGAATTGATGCTCCCCGACCAGACGCATGTACGAAGCCAAGACTGGACCATCTTTTTCTTACATAAGGACACCAGTGCGGAGGGAGAGGATGAGGATTCGACAACGGCGAAGAAAAAACGGCGGAAAAGGGAAAAGGCAGAGCAGAACCCAGACGACGAAGCGGACGACAATAGCCAGGACGAAGATACCGATGCTCTCACGGACGAGAGCAGCGACGAGGAAGACGATGGTGGCGAGGGGCCACCGTTGATGTACGTGCTCAATCTTGTGAATACAAAGCAAGATAACACAGTCAGGCGGTTCGTATTCCCACTCCACAGCCTCGTAAATCACTCAGCTAAATTAATCTGCAGGGGTGCGGTCGTCAAGGCTATGGCAATCTGTACGCGCCATTCATTCCTTCATATCTACAAGGTGATTTCACCCCGGCTTCAATATAGATGAACATGTGCTCATACCGTTGGCATCACAGCCCCTGCTATTATTGGCGCTGGAGGACTATTTCAAGTCGCCGTACCCCGAGACTCTGGCTACGCTGTATAACGCCGTCAACGAGATGGATCTGTCATTGATGCCCAAGCTTTCGCTCCTGGAACGGCAGATTTTACAGGCGAGTAATGCGAAGGATATGTTTATCGAAAAATTCGAGCAGATGATCCAACAGCGACTGATCGACGAGGGAGAGCCTGTGGAAGAGACCCCGCCATCACCAAAAAAGCCCGCCTCTCGATATGCGCTTCCCCGCGACACGCACGAGTTCGAATCGCGAGTCATCTACAATGATATCCCGATTCCTGTCAAAGTGCCAACTGTTATATGGCCCGAAATTGTGGGAGACTTTTCTCTCATCAAGCTCATCCAGACGTTCTCTACTGTTCATGCCACAGCACCTCAGGCCTTTCCGCTTCACCCGCACTTGACCACCAATGGTTCCTATACGCATCCGATCATCGTCCTTGTCAACGCCATGCTCACCCAGAAACGGGTGATCTTCTTGGGCCACAATCGGCCCTCGGGGGAAGTAGCAGAGGCAGTTCTGGCCGCCTGTGCTCTTGCATCAGGTGGGATCTTACGTGGCTTCACGAGGCATGCCTTTCCCTATACCGACTTGACGAAGATCGATGATCTGCTGAAAGTTCCTGGCTTTATCGCTGGAGTAACGAATCCCACCTTCGCAAATCATCCCGAATGGTGGGACCTCCTATGCGATCTTCCCACCGGCAGAATGAAAATTAGCAGCCACATTGAGCAGGCCCCCGTTACGGAAGGTCTACTGTATTTTCAACAGAGCTCCTTCCTCCAAAACTACACGCCGAGCGCCCATGCGGACCCCACTGGTGACAACGCCTTCATGGAAGACGTCCAACGGAGCATCACTAACCGCTACGGGGAGAATGCGATCCGTGCGAAATGGCGCGCATACATTACCAAATTCACGCGCGTCGCGGCTGCGTTTGAGGAGACTGTGTACGGAGCGTCGAATCTCTACATCATCGGGCCCAACGAGGAGCTATCTCCGGAAAGCCCGAGTGGTGTACAAGCCGACCCCCTAGACCCCACAACGCTACGTGGCCACGGCTATGTGTGGCCCGACGAGGCATCGAAGCAGCGAGAACTGATCGCCTCCGTATCGCGAATCGAAGGCTGGCGCACGACGCGGTCCTACTACTCGTTTATACAGGACATTGCGGCCATGTACTACCCCGCGAGACCAATCCAGAAACCTGACCTGCACCATCACCATGACCGGCTGCGCACGTTGCGGCTGTCTCATGCCGACGCCGGAGCGATCTACCTTGCCTTTTCCCATGCTGTCAAGGACTACGCAGGCATATGCCAGCTTCTGACGGTGACGCCAGAAAGCCAAGCCGGCCTGTTCTACATCAGCATGGGCCTATTTCACCCTGATCAGTCGGTTCGTGAAGCAACTGCCGATCTTCTAGATCGAATAGCGGCTCACCCCGCCGGCCGACACTTCTGGGCTCAACTCAGCCGCTTCAATAAACTGGCATACTTCCGAGTCCGACGGGAGCGGGATGCAGCGCAAAGCCCTATATCAGGGACGGGTCCGAGTTTCGGGGCGCCGCAATCTCTCATTGGAATTGCCACCGGGAATGCGGCGAGGCGAAGCTGAAATCACCTAAACATCCTGAGAACGCCACTACAATGTTCTCGTCTATATTACATATAACGACAGTGGATATATCTATTTTATCATACAATTCTTGGATATCATTTTCCCTTTTTTCTTTCATGTGGGTGGAGAGGTGGGTTTACACCTCATGTGTATTGTTCCCGGCGATGTGGCATGCAATGACATGGCGGTATGATATTTGATGAAGTTATTCAATTCAGTGTCGATACTTGGAATACTATGCAGCATAATGATGACCTTGTTCCTTGATTCCAACAATCAATATCGTTGAGGCACGAAGAATGTAGATGTTATAATTACATTAAGTCTATATAAATATGATAGTAGATGAACAACAAAGGAAGTAAGAACATGCCAAATCCACACTCGCTGTCGTTATCCATACAACCATGACCTGAAGAATAGCAAGAAACGGCAGATACCATTTACCCAAGGGGAGAACCGAATTATACAAGGTATGTGACTGGCGTTAAAACGATGAATCACAGCACCGACATCCCAAGACTCAAAGCCACCGTCCACCCGACCAACCGCCAATCAACCACCGCAGGCCTCCAAGCCCCCGACGCCGTTTCTGCTTTCTTGCCAACTGTGATGTTCACATTCGCGAAATTATCGCCGCAGTGTCGGTTCAGCGCCGACGCAGAGGGGAGATAGGACGTCGTGAGCGGCTGGCCGTCGATCTGCGCCCAGCGACTGAAGATATCCATGCTGGCTTGCAGGCACTTGTTGCAGGTGGGCCAGGGAGCTTGGTCGGTGGGGTACCCGGCGGGGATAGAGTAGGTGTCAAGATCCTGCGGGGACGAGGCGTTGGTGGCTGCATCGACGAAGCAGTAGTCTTTTGTGGCGGGGTTCTTGAGGCAGGAAGCGCGGTAGACAGGCTCGTAGGTGATAAAGCCTGTGTAGGCGCTTGCGACGAGCGGGTTCCCGAGCTTGTAGTCTTTGCCGCAGACGTCGTCTTTGAGGAGGTTGGTTGCGAGGCGGTTGAAGGTGGATTTGCAGTTGTCGACGGAGGCGGCGCAGGAGAGGTCGAGGACGTGCGAGGTGGCGGTTGCGGAGGTGAGGGTGTGGAAGAAGGAGGTGGAGTCGTGGAGGAGGAGCGAGATGGGGTAGCAAGAGGTGACGGTCGAGTCGGAGAGGAAGTCGTTGAAGAACTTGGGGCAGCTCTGGGCTGTGAAGTTGTTGGAGAGATTGGTGTCGAAGGCTGTCGGCAGTGAGTCGGTGCTGGCGTCTGAGCGAGCGTGCAGGTGCGATGAAGTGTGCTCATCAGTGTCCTCCTCGGGGGCGACGAGGATAGGTAGCGTGGCTGCCTCGTCGGTTAGACTGCTCTCGATGACCCAGTTTTTGCCGTATCGGGATTGTCCCTCTTGCACATGGTGACTATCTAGATGATCGCCGGTTACGCTCTCTCCACTCAGATACGCATCAGTTTGCGATAGGAACATGCCATGAGCTAGTGGGTGAGAGTCATCTGGAATCGCAGCCGCAGAGACAAGCGACGACACAAGCAGTACAGACAGAAGTATGACCAAGGTCGAAAATCGAGAGGTCATATCGATTTTCCCCCGCTGCGACGGCCTGCTTGGCCTGTATGGACTGGAATATAGGAATGATTTCATATCGGCAGAGAATTGAATGAATGACATTGCCACAAGGGCTTGAAATTGAACTCAAGGCGATAAAAGAGAGTGTGTCAGAGGCCAATGGTTATCATGGTCTCCGGAGTCCTTGACCTGGTGTTTGTATATCATCAACGACTGTAGAATGAGCGACTATTAGTACAAACTACTCCGTACCAGAATCATCAGTCAAGAAAGGACAGCAAAAGAATTAAGACTGCCCCGGCAGAGGCATAAGAGAATCATGATCCAGCCTCCGTTGACAGACAAGAAAAGAGGGAAAGAATTGGATGCCTGTCTGTCTGACCGAAAGCAAGGAAGAGCACGAAAACCTTCAGGAGACAACTGCAGCAACAACGAGAACCGCTGTGTGACTGCAGAGTTTAACTTTGGACTATTCAGCCTAGGGCTCTTGGTGGTACGGACCACCCTGCAAAATCAGTGCATTTTGGCATCAGTCTCTTGAGACAGATGCCTTAAAATTGGGCATTATAGCAGCGAGTGTAAATTTAGCAGCCACCAATGGACCAAGGAACGGTCTGGCCGCGAGTAGAACATGGGCAAGTGGATCTCTGGTCTGCAGAGGTGCGACTATCTCTTCCACAAAAGCCGGCACTAGAAGAAAAGAAAGGGGAACATCATCGGAGAATCCGTAGAGCTAGGACCTATCCATGGCCCATGGCCATCGGTACTGGTCAGTGGTCAGTGGTCTACGAAGTATATATTCAGAGTCCAGACTACTCCATCCTGCGACGATCGCAAAGACAATTCAACTTCTTTTTAAGATGCGATAATGCTCCGTAGGAATGAGAGGAATGAGACTATGAGTATCTACTCCGTACCTCGTACGGAAAAGCCTTCGATTGACCCCTGACTCGGAAAGCGGAAAAGTACCCATCGGTGCCATTCCACCAGCCATTTACCGTCGAGGTACATCGGGGTACATGGACGGTGCAGGAAATCGAGCCGAGCCTTGATTGGCCAATCACGCCGCCAGAAAATTCCCTCCACTTCCATCCGCATTTTGTCATCCGGACAGATGCCTATCTAAGTAGTGATTCATGTGTCAGTCAGATACAATTGAGGCAGTTGATTCGAGGTCAGACTATCATGAGCTGTGTATGATCGAGGAACATCGCAACTTTTCACCATAAACCCTACTTCCTTACCTGAAAGATCAGCGTCCTATTATTCCATACTTGCATACCATGTCCTCTGACAGCTTAGTACCTGAAACGAGGGTACTCGCCATTGCGAGTCATGTAAGTCTTTTTGTCCAGTTTGATTCCAGCTTCGGCGGATGGGTCATAGTTGGAGTAAGGTACTGACGGGCAGAACCAGGTTGTTTACGGGTACGTACTATCTACTGTGTCACTGTACCCCTCCAAGTGCACCAGGATGTAGCCTTCTTGCCACTATGTCGTGCACCTTGCCAATATGAATTGAGCAGCGACTAATGGCATCAGATATGTTGGCAACAAAATGGCTACGCTGGTCATGCAGTTGTTGGGGTGTGATGTTGCCGCCCTGAATACTGTCCATTTCAGTAATCAACCCTATACCCTTTGTCAGATTGAGTCAACTAACATTCGGCAGGCAATCACACCGGCTACAGGCAGTTCAAAGGCACAAGGTCAACAGCCCAAGAGATCAGCGACTTATATCAGGGCCTGTGCCAGAGCAAGCTCACGGACTTCGATGTCATGTTGTCGGGTTATGCCCCCAGTGCTGCGGCAGTGGAGGCAGTAGGGGCTATCGGCTTGGATCTGCAGCGCAAGGCCGAGTCAAACCCCGGCTCATTCTTCTGGGGTATGTTTAGTCCTGTCTTTATCGAATTCCCCGCTAACGGTGAACGAACATACAGTCCTGGACCCTGTTATGGGCGACCAGGGCCGGCTATATGTCAATGATGATGTCGTACCTGCATATAAAAGGATCATCCGCCACGCCGATCTGATTCTCCCCAATCAGTTTGAAGCCGAGTAAGGACGCTGCCATTGCCTGTAGTCCGGTACACTCTCAATTGACCACCTTCCCCTCAGAGTCCTCTCCGGAATCAAGATCACCTCCCTCAGCACCCTCGCCGAGGCCATCACCGCCATCCACACCACCTACTCAGTCCCACACGTCATCATCACTTCCGTTCGAATCTCCCAATTCTCCTCGTCCCCAGAAGCCACCTCAGACAACCTAACCGTCATCGGTTCCACCATCAAATCCGACGGCTCCCCTCGTCTCTTCCGCGTTGACGTCCCCGCCCTGGACTGCTTCTTCAGCGGCACAGGCGACATGTTCGCGGCCCTGACGGTCGCCCGGCTCCGCGAAGCCGTGTTCGCCGCCGACTCCACCCTCCGCTCGACCAAGTCGTGKGTCTCCCCGGATGACGTCCAAGCCACTGATTTGCCTCTTGCCAAGGCCACAGTGAAGGTGCTCGCGAGCATGCACAGTATCTTGGAAAGGACCCTGGAAGCGCGCGATGCGGAGCTCCGCGCCTCTGCATCTGCGGAAGAGACAGAACTGGGCTTGAGTGAGGAGGAGAAGCAGAAGAGTGAGTATCTGCGGCGGACCAAAGCCGCCGAGGTGAGGGTTGTACGGAATGCGCGGTTCCTGCGGGAGCCGGATGTTGAGTTCCAGGCGCGGGAATGGAAAAAGGAAGATCTGCCTGAGGGACTTCAATAGTCGATTGCATGATTTAGACGTACTATAGACTTGTAGATAGACCTAAAGTCATGAATAGAACGTATTATGAGAGTAACTTGTCATCTTTTCAGTATCATCATGTCTATCTATGTCATAAATAATCCAAATTCGTTTATATTAAAGACCTGTACTTCCGAATCCACCCGCCCCACGGACACTCTCCTCCAACTCCTCGACGACCATCACCTCGGGCGTATAGATCTAGGTACCATCAGCATCCATACACTCAGAAATGACGAACCGGACAAAGAACTCACCCGTTCAAGCACAAGCTGCGCAATCCGATCCCCCACCTTAATCGTAAAATCCACATCCGAGAAATTGAACAACAGCACCTTCACCTCACCCCGGTAATCAGCGTCAATGACGCCCGCCCCGGTATCGATGAAGTGCTTCGAGGCAAGGCCACTCCGGGGGGCAACGCGGCCGTCTGGAGTCAACCAATTAGCATACAATTACCTGGCAGAGAAAGAAAGACAGCATACATGTTCCCTCAGGCACGGCAATCGCAAGCCCAGTGTCAACCAGGGCTTTACCCTTGGCCGGGATGACGGTCTCCTTTGCGCTGTAGAGGTCGTAGCCTGCGGCGAAGGCGGACCCGCGGGTGGGTGCTTGTGCGGACTCGGTGAGCTTCTTGACGAGGAGAGGAGGGAGGGGCTGAGAGATGGAGGTGACGGCGGGTGCTGTGCCGGTGGTCATCTTGTCGGTGTTGGCTGTGTTGGTATCGGGTTTTGTCCGTTTGGCGAGGGGAGAGGCGGGGAGAGAGGGAGGTTCGTGTGCGGGAGCTGTGGATTGTTGCGGCGGTGGTGTGGTCTCTTTTGTCATAACTTGAATTGGGATTGCGAGATGTATGGAAGAGAAAGAAATTGCGGTGTGCCTGTCCAGAGGTGCAATAATTGACCAGCAGACGATGCATACTATGGTAGGTTAGACGCGTCTGGCGGTGTACGCGCACCGCGTTGTTAATTGGCTTGGCGTGTTTGCTCTTTTTGTACTAAAATTTGGCCTGAGGCATAACTTCCAACTGACCGAGCTCCGAACGCCCCGCAAGTGCAAGCTCGGGCCAAAGATGGGGTTGCTGCCAATTGGACTGTTTTGCCTCGGTCCGCAGCGCTGGAGCTGAGCTGGAGCATGTCCTGCCTTCTTATTACCGGGGTTATTTCTGTCTCCAGGTTCCTCCGATTTTTACGTACCTGTCCGGGTTGACACTGGGTGGAAGGAATTCTAATCAACTATTGTTTGACAGTTGGCGCCATGGCCGGAGCTGTACGCCAACCGATTGATATCCCGTCGCTGGAGCGATACCTCGACCAGAACGTGCCTATCATCAAGACGCCAATTGATGTGAAGCAAGTAAGTCATCAATACCACTTTCTTCACTCAGTTGATATGTTGACTTTGCAACAGTTTGGCTTCGGGCAATCCAACCCCACCTACCTAATCACCGGCTCGAACAAGCAACAATATGTCCTACGCAAGAAACCGCCAGGCAAGCTCCTGTCCAAGACGGCGCACCAAGTCGAACGAGAATACAAGATTATCCACGCGCTAGAGAAGACCGACGTCCCTGTCCCCAAGGCATACTGTCTATGTGAGGATAGCAATGTGATCGGCACTCCGTTCTACATCATGGAGTTCCTGGACGGCCGAATATTTACAGATCCTGCCATTCCCGGCGTAAGCGCAGAAGAGCGAACCGCACTGTACATCTAGCCCTCTCCTTTAGCTCCGGACAGATACTAACGGCCCCAGATGGCGCGATGCAGTCCGCACATTAGCCAAGTTCCATCGGGTCGTCCCCAAGTCCGTCGGCCTGGAGCGATTCGGCAAGCCGTCTGGCTACTACGACCGCCAGATCGCTACTTTCACCGCCGTGTCCAACGCGCAGGCGCAGGCCGTCGACGTTGAGACCAAGAAGCCGGTCGGCGAACTGCCTCACTTCATGGACATGGTGCGCTTCTTCTCCAACAAGGCCACCCAGCCACTCGACAGAGGCACCCTCGTGCATGGCGACTACAAGATTGACAACATGGTCTTCCACAAGACAGAGCCCCGCGTCATCGGCATCCTGGACTGGGAGATGGCGACGGTCGGCCACCCGCTGTCCGACTTCTGTAACCTCACTAGCCCCTATTTTCTCGAAGGGACGGACCACAAGACGGAGCAGTTCCAGCCTGGCGTGGTGCCAGGCCTGCCTAGACGTGAGGACTGCCTGCGGTGGTACAGCGAGGTCGCCGGGTGGGACCCCACGCCGGATATCCTGTGGGGGGATGCGTTCTTCTCGTGGAGGAGCTCCGTGATCATGCAGGGAATCGCGGCGCGGTACGCTCTGCGCCAGGCCAGCAGTGCGCGTGCGCAAGAATACGCGCAGAATACCGGGCCGTTTGCCTTGAAGGCGTGGGAACGGGTCAAGAAGGTACAGGAGCAGGTGCGTCAGAAGGGGAAGCTGTAGTATTACCTGCTGTAGTACGATAATACGTACCAAACATTCTTCCGTAACTAGCATGTATGCGTCGGCGAAAGCGTCATTTGTTTGTCCCCATATAGCTAGAAAACTCATTGCCAGCTGTCAATGTCGACGTCGTCAGCCCAGACCCGTTCCCAACGGGAATCTATACCTCCATCCACCAGTTTCTCCTGTATAAACAAGCAGTAAGCACAGACATTTAAACAACGCACGAAAGGAAGAAACCGGAACAAAAACACCAAAGTACGAAGCAGTCATCCAATCAAGCCCCTCGGACCAAGCCACTGTTTGCTCGCGGTGATAATTGGGTGCGGCTCAGGGAGGCTTTGTTTGTTCCGCCTGTACGACCAGTGGGTTGTAGAACTCTGCAAGGTGATCCCAGTCCTTTTGCGAAGAGTAGGTTGGGATTGCAGGTTGATTTGTGAGTCCTCCTAGTGTCTGTGAATTGGATACCACTGCGTGGAAAGTATATTGAATTTGAGGTATTACAGAGCTGGAAAGATCCTTCGGATGTTTTCATTAGTACTTTGGGAGTTATATATAGCTAATAACAGTTACAAAGGCACCATCGTCACTATTATTATGCTCCTTAGGAGTACTATATGCAATGCCACAGACCCCGTTTAGATTCGCTCGCGTTGCAGTTGTGAAACCAAACTGGCACGCTACCCTCCATGGCATTGGCCTGCATAATATCCTCAGCATAGACCAACGGTATGATAGCCAGGCTACATCCACGGTGAGCCGTCATCTATAATAGCATTGTTCCACTCTAAAAAGGCTCGAATACAAAGGAGAAAAGTGATCCACAAGTCATTAAAGGCAGGTCCGTGAACAGAGAGTTTTCATGCACCTCTGACAAAAACTATTAGATTGGAGGCGTCGGTCGAAAAGCAAGGGTTAAATTTCGGTGTACGTCAGTTCATACCTATGGGTCGGGAGTATTAAATCTCAACTTCTCGAGAAAATAGGAAAATAGTTAAGCAGTTTTCTCCTTCTATCGAGGTTACAACTGCAATGGCTATCTCGTCTGACCGTAACAGAGCCCATTTTGAGACCACAAAGCGCCTCCTTGCGCAGTTGGTAAACGATGGACTAGCTTGTTGTGCAGTTGAGGGCATCGGAAGTTCGCGACAACGACTAGTTCTCTACAACAACAGCTTCGACGCAGATCCTTTTATTAGGCGGGTGAGAGTTTATCTCTGCGATGGAGCGCTGATTCGCCTGCAAGCTGGCCGAGTTCTGTCAATTCTGCGGCCTGATGATTTGAAGCAACCCGTTACTTTGCAACTCGGGCTGGCAGAAGTAACGGAGGAGTGCAATCCAGCAACAGTATTTCGGTTTATTCGGCCTTGGTTTACAGACATGGCAGGGGATGAAGTCATGGACCCAATCGAAAAAGAGCTGCAAAACTCAGCAGATAATCAGGGCAAGTCATGTATTCAGTGCATTCACTGTTGACAGCATTTTGACATTGACGGGAGACAGAACAATGGTTACAAATTGGCAAAAGAAACCCGTCACCGCATTTAGGCTCCCCATCTATCCTCTGGGAGAGATCGTTGATATTTGGGCATCCTAGACATCCGGTACGTTGGATCAACAGCTTCCTGTTGGCTGATATTGATTTTTGTTCCCGGCCTTGTAGTTCCATAGGACTTGCTACGCGCTGCCACCCCTAAAACCAATAGCACCTGCTGACCTTCCCAGAATGCTCACTCCTGCCCTTGCTTTTGTCTCGGTTCCGCATGACGACCTTCTTATAGCCGGTCCTTTTCAACAATTACTTCTGCCACTTTTAGAAACACTCGAGGTCCCTCAACCAGCTGAAGGCCGAGTGATCGTACCATGCTTGGCCCAACAGTTGCCCGCAGTCCAGAGCCATTTTCCAGACGCAACCGTCTTAAAGGTAGTCGAAAACTGTGCAGATGCTCAAGCGAATATTCGAACAGTCACTTTGCGACCAGAATTGCAATTCGGCTACCATCTTAAACTCTCTTTCAATGGTCACATTACGTCAGGGATCCGGACAATCACCCGTTGGACAGCCCTCGGCGGACCAGTCATTTCCGATATCCTTAAAATGCTGCTTCCTGCCGATCTATGGGTGTTTGAAGAGGTTGCCGCTGCAACTGGCGGTCAAAGCGACTTTTCTGCAGGGAGACATTTAACTTGCATGCTGAGAAAGGACTTAGAGCCAAGGGCTGCTGCAAATAACGAGACCCTAATAGTGGCTGCGGTGCTCACCGAGAGGCCTGTTGACGACAGCCGTACATATGCTGAGATATTATTCGACCTCAACACTATTGATGAGAAGCAGGATTGGTTTCGAAGGTTGTCAAGATTCGGTTTCCTTATAGGCACGGCCTAAAATTTGCTAACAGTAGTGGCATACAGGTATCTTCATTGTTTATTGAAAGTTACTCTCATCCCGTTAGTGCAGCACGGGATTGGGCTAGAGGCTCATGGCCAAAACATCGTGGCTAGGGTATGCATACGACGTCGAGTTATCAAAGGTTTCGCTGTGCGCGATTTTGGTGGGATTAGGATGCACGGCCCTACTTTAGAAGCTCAAGGATTTAACTTCCAGTCGATCCCCCCAGGCAGAACTACGATAACAGACGACTTGGAGCATATTTGGAATAAGGTGCATCACGCTTTACTTCAAAATCACGTGGGGTATCTTCTTTCCTCACTAGGACTAGAAGGTAAAGGGGGGTGGGCTATCGTTCGCGACGAGCTCTCAGCAGTCCTGAGGCCAGATAAAGGTGGCCTTGGACAACAGTTATATGGTCATTTTCTAAAGGATACCATGCCATTCACATGTTTCATGACGATGAAGTTTGAAGGGACGTATCGCAGCGTAAGTTATCATGGTTTACATATCTAATAATGCTACCCGGTGTCCTAACTACTACAGGTTGTTACAAGGGATGTTCCAAACACCCTACTGTTGCACAGCTGATTGGTACCTAGTCCTGCAGAGAACTTGAAAAATCAAACCTTTCTTTTTAAGACTTCCTAAAGTAACTCCATAAACTTTCGGCGCACCTCCCCAATTCCCAACCATTCAAAGAGAACCCTGCAATGATCACATTGATTCCTGCAGCCCTTGACTTTTTTAATCTCTCCCTTTTGTACTTTCGTATCGTTTCAGGCCACCCCATGTGCATGCGCGCTCGCGGAGACAGCGCCACGTCTCCGGTGATCGGTCTGTGAGATCCTGCAGTGCAATGACTTCACATCTAGTCTACCTCTCTAGTAATCCCAGAATAAAAGGTTGATTTCTAATACCTTTCCGTCTTACTTTTAATCAACTGGGATGGGAAATGAACCAGGCGGGTCAATCGGGAACGGCCCGCTTTTACTGGCCTTGACTTTGTAGCTAATGGATAGATCCGCTTACCGCATATAAATGATGATATGATCAAAAGTCTGACCTTCCTTGAGAAGGATTGAGACTTGAGCGCCTGATGAATCATGCTGGGTGAAGATCCGATGGGGGAAAAATTATCAGCCAATCGACCCTGGTACCTTTAGTGCAGCAGGAGTGGAATTGCAACAAGGATTGTTTGGCCAAGGGTAAAGCCAAGGCGTCAGGCAAGCAGGACTGCATGTAGGAGATGTAACTAGCACTAAATCAGTTGAGTCAGACAATGAACGCAAACCTGTTAGATAGACTAGACTAGATTTGTCGGTCAAAAGACGTTTTGGGAATGAAAGAGAGAATACGAGATAAGCTTGTCACTATTTCCTAGGGTGAGTGCCTCTGTCCAGTCTCATACCTAAACTGTCCAGGGAGGATTACTAGTATGTTTGGGCCTCAGGCAAAAGTCAAGTGGGGCACACGGGAGGGGAAGTGAGCCAGAACCAATCATAACGGCCACAAGTTCTGCAGAAAACAACTGTCGATCAGTTCAGCTCGGACTCCGGAAATACCATGGTCCGTCATTTACGTTACATTCGCTTGCGTGGATATGCGGAAGTCTGAACTCCACCTTAAGAGGCTGATGCTGATGCTGGTGCTGTTGCTGCCAACCTGCCAAAATCATCCCAGGCGGATGCGAAATCAACGACTAGATATCTACCTACCCACTTTCATCCTCTGAAATTTCGCTTCAATTTGATTAGTGAGGTGAAAACGCAGGACTCCACGGCTCCGACATCGCAAACACTGAAACCTCGGATGGTTCGTAAAAGGTCGTATCCCGGCGTCGTGGGGTGTCAGAGTTCTGAGGCGGGAATATCAACCGGCGTCGGCTCATGGGCTGTTTGATGTCACCATCATTGTSTGGGATGGTCGGCGACTTTCCAGCCTCATTCTCTCCGTAGGTGGGCAGTCAACCAGTCCCTGTTATACTCCTCTTGGGTAGTATATGTCCTGAACTTAAGAGATTTGTTCATTATTATTGTGTGTTGGGAATCAGTCTACCTGAAATCGCTGTTAATAAACGAACTGTATTCTATTTTCTGCTCAATAATCTTCAAATCCTCCCGATGATTTCTCTTCCTGTAGAGCTGGTGGAACCAGGATATACGGTCCAGGATAAAACGTAAGAAACGGGCCTTAGGCACAAAGACTAAGGCACCTAATTGATTCGAGGCTTACAGCCTTGTCGCCTTAGGCACTAATCGAGGAACCAAGATTCGCCCTAGAATCCTTCGCTCACGTACTCCGTACGAGCACGTAATTCGTAATCGTGAGGGGAAAGAAGGCAGATCTCAGCAGGCTGACCTCTGAAGCCAGAGCTTCAGGAGTTCAAAGTTTTGGAGAATTTGGAGAGTTTGAGCCTCTTTAGACGGTCCCTGGTTCGTCATGAGCCATGCACATCACAAGACCGATCAGATCAAGGCTAATCAGAAGGATCCCCTCGTCCAGAATCCATTCACATACAGGTAATATGGATTCATAGAGTTTCCACGTCGGTTCGGTGCAGGTTAGCCACTTCAGCCTCCTCTTTTTTGCCTTCGTTAGCCGACCAATCATACACAGCGTTTCTGCAGAGAGCCTCAAATGGCCCGAACGTGGAGGTTGTTTGGTTGGATGGTGCGGCTGGCCCGGAAGAGGCTCGTGGTCGTTAGAACCCGGTGCTAGGTGAAACTGTGAAATAGCGCTGCCTAGGTCCAGGCGTCAACTCCTTGAGGATTATGGGGAATAAGATAAAACACCGCCATTTCATTAAGCCAGTGTATCTTAAAAATGTTTATAGACTTGATGAATCCACACTCAACATGGATAAAACAAGGTCTCGGACAATGCCCGTTTACAAGGAATATAGTATAGTTATGCCACTACTGTCGGTGCTGGTCGGTTAGCATTGTTTTCCTTAAAATAATATCAGGCGGTATTATGATGACTGATGGCCATACTTTGCTGTCAATCATTATCAGGTATTATTACCTAGACAGCTACTAGACTAAGGTACCTACCTACTGGGGCTCATAGATGACTGGACAGTGGACAAGCGCTACCTCGCTCCCTCCCCCCCTACTAAAATTCATCTAAATTGGAATCCATACCTGCGCCATAAAGGAATAGTCGTACTGTATTCCGTCCTCTGCCTCAAACCCCACTTTGCTTTGCCTGTCTGTGGCGCGTCTGGAGACCAGTTAACCCAGCACTCTGTGAGCGTCAGGACAGCGACCTTTTTCTCTTCTTTTCCCTTCTCAAGGATGATCTTCTCTGCTATCTCATATCAACCCCCCCCCTTTGCCTTCTCCCTCGAATAATTATCGAAAACCTGACAACATTTTACTCAAATTGGAGAGTGTGAAAATAGGGCGTATTTCACCCAAGTATTCGGGTTCGAAAGTGCTCGCGATAATCTAGAACAGCAAACTTCCTGCAATCCTTCGTCCTCATCCCCAACACAATAATTGTCATCGTTATCATCCTCATCCTCATCCTCATCAATATTCTCCTCATCATATATCTACCGGGGTCCGTGGAACTATTGTCTGTCCGTGGATTTACCTTTGACCGCTTAAACCTTCTCTCCTCTCTGATCCTCTATCTGCCCATTTTCTCCTCCGTTATTCCTCACTCTAAACCCTTTTCAACCGTTCCGCCAAGCCAGCGTCACCTCTCCCGCTCGAGCTAACTAGCTCAAAGGCAGTAGCCTCATCGTCTGGAAGGCCATAGTCTCGATAATTATTCCTATTATTTATTATCATCAGTATTTCTGATTTGGTCTTCTTTCCTCTGGCCACGCACGACCTGGCTGCTGCTGTCATTGCTGTTATAACTGTCACTCTTATTACCCTTCCCGACCTGCATTTTGCTTGTACTTTGCTTTGCTCCTGCGAAGTACCTCTACTGCTACCACACCTATTCCTCTTATTGCGACGAAACCCGCTACTGCAGCGTCGTCACCACCAGCACATGTCCGCAAGTCCACGGCCGTTATAATAACACTCCCAACTATTACTCCCATTGGCAACTCCGCTTTTCTTCAATTCTGGACTTTTTTTGCGCCCTGTGGGATTCTTTGTTTGTCTCCTCCCTCCCAACATCACAGCTCTGTCATCATTCTCCTGCGCGTTTCATTCGTCCATATCTTCGGTATTTTTGCCCTCGTACTCCCAGCCTGCCGATGCACCTGGTATATCAATCCGATCTGCGCCATTGACCGTGCGATTCGGCCTTCTTCTGAGCCTCGCTGCAGGTGACCGGCTTCTGCAACCATCATCCGTCCCATCTGGAATCACCCATCGGCTTCAAGCCACGAGGTCTCCCAATTCCTAAAGGTGAGCCTACCTTAAATTGCCTCAGTTTCCCCCGCATTCTACCCTTCTGAGGAAATGGAGCTCGGACTGGCGCCACCATCAATAAACTGCTCCATAACGCAGAACGCGCCTTTTTCTCTCTGGTTAGTCAACAGTAGTCCTCATGCAAAAACGTCAAGATCAGTTCTGTTCTTGTTCAGATTCTAAGATGGGCGATGGTCTACTGCGGGTTCACCCCAGAAATTGCGGACTGGTTCTGAGCAAAACAGGTGTATTCGCGACCTGATCAGTCTTTTATAAGCTGTTATTCAACATACTTTCCTTTTTCTGTCAGTCACATGGACTAACGATGTCAATTAGATATTCCCTCTGAACAAGCACTGTGGCTTATGTGCTTTGATTCTCTCTTCGCCTGCTCCCCTCAGTTGCGGGCTAGTGAGCTTGGAATCGACTTTTTCCCCCAAGCCAGGCACAGGGAGGTAGATTGGGGGCAACGGTACCCATAGACGAGGAAATCTATCAGGAAGGGGCTTCCTAATGCCCCCTCAAAGCCCGCCTCCATGACCGACGCATACGAACCAGATGACGACCGGCTCACTCCCGGGCTAGAGGTTCAGAAACCCAACTATAAGCCCGACGAGCAGCTGCCCCCGTTTCTAACCCAAGATTCGCTCTCTAAACCTGATGCTACTGCTAAATACCCTGGAGATGAGGGAACGTCTTCGGACTTTCCCCGTAAGCCGTCGCCGACATCCAAGCCCGAAACAACTCAGGGCGACTCGGTACTGATCTCTCATCTAGAACCGAATCGCCCGGATATTGCGAATTACGAGTTAGAACATCCGCGCCCTCGGGATCCCTGGGTAGAGGATCAACCAAATCTGCAGAGAACGAAAATTGACACTCGAGCAGTTGAAGATGGCAAATTTCAGGAACCGCCTTCGTCAGTGGCGGAGAGAGCTCTCCAACTCTTGTCCTCTGACGTGTTACCACAACCTGAAAACTTGGTGTCACCTCCGCCTCTCAAGAGCGCATCTCCGCCCCAATCGATCAAGGACTTGTTGGAACCACCTGTAACACAGGCCGAGCCAATCAGCATCAAAGTCGAAGTATCATCTCCAAAAGAATCACATCCGCCAGCGCCGCCAAATTTCACCGCCGAACGCATATCTCCCGTTGTTTCGCCCTTGAAAAAGTTTGCAATATCACCTTCAGAGGCACCGGTTCAAGCCTTGCTTCCAGCACTCCAGACGTCTCCTCCGTTAGCAATCGCCAAATCGCCAGAGAACCACCAACAGCATAGCCTGCCGTCGATACAGACTGCTTTGGCCGAGATCTCGGGGCCTTACTCTCTTCCTCCAGTATCCACGTCCCCTCCATCGATACCAAGGAATGAACCGGCATGGGATCATCAACGGCCAGGACAGTTTGCTCCACCACAGGTCCCCCCTAGTCCTTATTCCCATCTTTCCCCTGCGAGCTCCAAGGGCATGTCGGCCGTGTCCTCTCCAGCATCGCAGCAACAACCCCAGTGGAGGCATACACGATCCGACATCACTTATCTTACAACGCCGCATTATGAACCTTCGCCATCGGCAGTCAAGAGTCCGGCAACCAGCTATCCCACTCCCACCGATCAGACCCCGACAGGCGAACGGCCGCCTTTCAATCCGTGCCCGCCGCCCACCGCACCGGTTCCCCCAGGCACATTCAAATGCCGGCATCCAGGGTGCACTGCTCCACCTTTTCAGACTCAATATTTGCTTAAGTAAGTCAACACTGAACCTCTCTGAGTTGACAGAAACGGGCTCACCTTTCGCAGCTCCCATGCAAATGTCCATTCCCAAGATCGTCCACATTTTTGTCCCGTCGAGGGATGTGCCCGAGGAGTTGGCGGCAAAGGATTCAAACGCAAGAATGAGATGATTCGGCATGGCCTTGTCCATAATTCGCCAGGTTATGTATGCCCTTTCTGTCCGGATCAGCAACATAAATACCCGCGGCCTGATAACCTTCAAAGGTGAGCTTCATACTGTTCTTGGCCGGCCTTCAGGTTCTCTGACAGAATCTAGACACGTACGAGTTCACCACGTTGATAAGAACAAGGACGATCCCGAGCTCAGACGAGTGCTATCTCAAAGACCTGAGGGCAGCACTCGAGGCCGACGACGCCGAACCACTGCCCAGTAGCTTGTGCGCTGCATTACCCTTCATAACTACTCGCCTTCAGTATGCCGACAGTCGAAACATTTCTCTCGTCGCCATCACCACCCAGGATCGACCGCCCGTTCGTGTAACCTGCATATGCATTGACGAATTCCCTTCCCGTGTTCCTGTTTGTCGTACCGTACATGATACCATATTCTTAGAATTACGTTCGCGTTCGTTGTATGCTGCCGTTCGTTTTGTATTAGCATATATCCTTCCATCGCTATAGGGTACAGCGTGGAGTCCGAGATGGGGACTTGCCTCGTGATTGCGATAGCCGGCGTTGAGTGTTTCTTTCTATTGTCTGAGCTGCACATTAGCCTCTACATACATTGTTCTTCTTTGGAAGCTTTGGCGTCTTGATCTTGGCCGGGAATCGAATGGAATTGAGCCTTTTCATTTTCAGTTTGATCTACATGTATACGCAAAGATATGATATAGCAATACGACTTGAATCAATTCAACCAAACAAGGAACATGAGGTGGTCTATCGATACAGCAGCAGAAACACAACAACAAACAGCATCGAGACTCCAGCGCAATGACATCCACCGCTAATACCAACCCAAACCCAAACCCGCCGTAAATGCTTACAACATCCCGAGAAAATGTCAAGGTCAAGAGTCAAGCTCCCCCCTCTTATGAATCCGCCGCACATGGTCCTTCATGTTGTCTACCCGGCTAAACACCCTCCCACAATCCGGCCACTCACACACAACTCCGGGGTTATGCTTCGCCTCGTGCCGGGCGCGGTCCTTCTTGCTCGAGAACCCGCCCGCAACAGCCTGCGGACAGCCCTCGTGCCGACAGAACAGATGTTTCCGGTGCCGGTTGAAATGCTTCCGGAGGTCGCAGCCGCGGAAGAACGTCGCAGCCGAGGTGCAGCCTGGGTGAGCGCAGCGCCAGGATCCGTCGGGGTTGGGGATACCGTAGTTGTTTAGGTCTTTGGTGTCGAGGTCTGGGGAGGGCGGATTCGGGTCGGAGCGGGGGGTTGAATGGCCCGGGTAGAGGTAGCTTTGCGCGCTGGGGTTGACCGTAGTGGGGTTTGTTCTTTGCGGGGTGTACGCCATTGTTGAGGCTGGGTAGATGTCGGTGGGATGGTATGTTGCTGTTGTTGCTGTTGGGGGCACTTGGGAGGTCCACGGATCACTGTAGGGGAGGTAGGATCCGCTCATCGGTGCGGCAATGGTGGTGTTGCAGGCTTGGCTTGTTGGCATGGCTGGTATGGCTGACTCGAAGCCGAGGCCTGCATATGAGGACGCTGGGGGACTAGCAAGGTAGAAGCTGTCCATGTCTTCCTCGCTGTCTGCTTGGCCCATGTTGTATGGGTATGTCTCGGGAACATCGTGCATGCCCGGGAAGGTGTACTGATGCGAAGACATTGCGAAGATGGCTCCGTGGTCCGTAGTGAGTAAAGTCATGCTGTCACGGGCCACGGTATGAATTGCTAGTTGATCCGGGTTCTGTTCGAGGAAACCACAGGATCGAGGAGGATGCCGATTGAGTTTCTTGTCTTGTTCCAACGAGGGGCTGATCATGAGATCTTGCAGTTAAATAGTTCCTGGTGATGCGATCCAGCATTGTGGAAGCGGAATGTCTCCGTGCTAGATAAGCAGAGTCAGTATGAGGCCTAATTTTCTTTTCTTTTTTCCTGACTAAAGACATAGCCAGACACGCTTCTTCATTAGAGCCGAATGATATTGCAGCACAACGTCAGACGTGGCTATGTTATGCTTCGGCACGCTGACAGACTTGACTGAATTAGCAGCTGGCGACTCTTCACAATGCCCATGTACGACTCTTAAACCTGCATAGATGTCATCAGAGTCGATACCATTGGTTGTCGACGTGCGATTATGCCTATTTCTGGGTTCTTCATGTTGTATTTCTTCCATTCACACGGCACGTTGAAACTACGTGAGAAGGCCAGGTAGGCTCAAACTCCAGATTGCGTCGGGTTTACGCTCGGATATCGACATTAATGAGCCAGTGACCGTGAGAGAAATCAGTTGGTATGATGCTGTGCTGAGACACATACCTTCAACCAGTCGTTCGCTGGTGGTACCTGTGGCTTCCGAACCTTGTTGTGGGCTTGAACTTGGCTGCATATAGTTAGATGTATACGAGGCTTGGCACGAGAGCCAATGGCAGCAGATTCACGTTCCGAACACTGGAGTTAGAGTCTTAGCGCTAATTAGTCGTTTATTCGTTTAGCCTGTTTCCTCATTCGCACCACCGCAGCTTGAGAGATCTGTGGTTGACAACACGGACTCCCGGCATCGAGTATGGAGTCAGAGTGGCCCTGGCAAATCAGGGGTCATCATTGGATGTCCGTTAGGGCTTAGGTGCCGGAGACGCTGTGCAATCAGCAAGTGGCATGGCAATTGTCTTAGCTGTCGAGAAAGGCTATTCCCGAGTAGTTGAGATGTCGCGAGTTTATAATTAGTCACTGGCGATTTTCCAAACAGACGGGATGTCTGCTTCCACAAAGGGGAAGACGCCCTTTGCCTGGTCGAACCAGGCCGATCGGCCAGAGGCTGAGCCTCTTAAGATGCTTGTTTTGGGCCAAAACCTGCGAACCACGTGACTCGGTCTCAGTTTCGGCCCCCTATCCCTATGCATGGTTAACCCCCCCCCTGCGGTGTGAACGATGAACATAACCGCAGAACAATTGGGAGAAGATGAAGAGATATGCTGTTTCTAACTGTACATAAGCTAAAACATGCATGGCATTGCGCCTTAATCAGGCCCCCGCACCTTGGCGACTGGACTGGATATGCTTACCTGGCCTTACATCCGCTCGGTTCCTGTCTCAGTTCCAGATAACAGTCATATTCACTGTGACCGTTTCATCAAGCGAACGCAGATTCCAATGCAACCCCATTGTGTTATCTTTCAGTGCTTATCCTCCTGAGATGATTGTTATGCAAAGAATGGATAAAAATGGAAATCCGGGACGGCCCCAGAAAACCCCCCCCCCCCCCCGGGGTGGCTGTAAAAGGAGCGGTGTCAGCAGAACAAGGTTCATGATGTATCAACAAGCTCCAAGTATTGTTTTCTTTTGTCACGCTAGACGATTCACTGTTGTCTTGCCCTCCCTGAGACAACTGACTTTTTTCTCCTTCCCATCCCGCTGAGTTGGGACTGGCAGCCTAGGAAGCCTTACCAGCTTTCCTTCCTGTAGAATTCTACTGGTTGCGCTGATTACATACGCCCATGGTGCAGATGAGTCCAAGCAGGTTCAAAGGGAGTAAGTATGGTTGAGCTATTGTCTAAAGGGGCATAATATGTATGTATATATCAAGTAGAAAAGAGGTCAAGCGCTAGCAGCTCTTGGGTCCGACAATAGGGGAGTGACGAGGTCCGGATGACGATTGATCTTGCTCTCCAGGGAGTCTCTGTAAAGGACATAGTGTTGCACGATAAAGACCAAATCAAACAGGATGGTCACGTTTGACAATAAGAACTTCACGGGGTTACCAGTAATGCCACTCCAGTCGCTCTGAAACGAAGAATCCAAAACTAGTTGCAGAAGGGAAAGGACCCCACCAGTCAAGTCGAAAAGTATCTGGGAGATACTCCACCCCTCTGTGGACTTTCTTTTATAATTGACCCATGCTTGAGGGACATATTTCACAATGGTGATGATCAACTTCACATATGAGAGGGCGTAAATCTAGAAGATGCGGAGTCAGGATTGACACGAAACGTCGCATAATTCTTTTCAAGTTTCCAAACCACTTACCACATCGATCCATGCCCAGGTGGATGGGTCATATCCTCCGTCAGGGCTCTTAGCCAAAACAATGCAAGCTACTATACCTATCGCTGCTATGGAGCCCCAGAAGAGGCCAAGAACTGGTTTACTAACGGTCTGGAAGCGGGAGACCTTGAAGCCCCAGATCTTAGGCCAAAATTGTGTGTAAACTAACGTGCTGAGGATGACAGCATGCAGAGCAAAGGCAAAGTCGTTGAAGCGCACTGTCGACTCCTCATCCGAAGGGTGACGGGCGGCGTATTGCCGCCGAATCACAGGAGAGTAAAGAAAGGCAGATGTATATGCTGTGTAGCAGACGAAGCCCAGGACGTTGATAGTGGGAAAGTCAATGGCCAACCCGACTGTTGAACGCCGTCGAAAGTTACTGATCGGCTGGGGATAAAAGGACGCCGACCAGCAAAACATACTTGGTCTTCAAGTCAGCAACCGGGCAGGTATTTTGGGATAGAAGCCTCTCAGGAGATTTATCTGCCCCAGATTGACTTGGAAGAACACAGTCACATACTATATCCATCCTAACAGGCTATAAACGGCTTATCAGCACATGTCAGTTGTATCGTGATAATCGACACTCACCGCGAGAGAGCCCTCACGAAGATCTCAAGTTGAGAAGACATATCTCTACAGTTAGACTTGCCTTGAAACAAATCATAGAAAGGAAGAAATAAAATGACGTTGATATGGGAAAAGATCCGAGGATCATGAGGATCAAGGGACTGAGAATCAGCGCCAACCCACCCCGTGGGTCCAGCTGATAAGAATAATCATCATCGGATACCTTAAGCACGCGATGAATCCATAAGCAGCAGGCGGTATAGAAACCGTCGCTGAGTCAGCGGTTGGTTGCTCGGGATATGAGTTGGCACACTAAACCCAAATTGGAAAACAGTTGTGACGCTGATCGAAGGCTTGCTCCTTCAGCCGCCCCAGCATCCAGCCATCTGCTCCCATCCAGAGGCTGATTATTATTATTGTCAGTATTGCTTCATTCAAGCCGGTTCTGGAAAGACAATTTGTTTTCATATCTTCCCTTTTGATGTTTTGTCTGACATTACATTGGGTATTCTTTCCAGCCTTTCCATTCTATCGTCTTGTCCCCGCTTCGATCCTCCTCGCCGCCAGCCTCACGACTATACAGAAGTGAATATTCGATCCACGACATCAGAAGCCTAAACAACTTCCATTTTTGGGTCTGGTGAGCTAA